AGAGAAGAAACTGAAAAAAAGACTGACTTTGGGCACATCATTGACCAATTTTCATCAGTGAAAGCAAGGAAGGTGCAGTTTTAATTTTCATATAATGCCATAATTTGTTAATTAAAAGATTAACGAGCTTGACTTATGGTAAAGTTATCTAAAAGATGGGTGTCAGATGTTTGGACAGGGGCGCACTTTCAGTGCTTGGCATAGGCGCTATTTTCCGTAGATACGCCCCTGATTGTTTAATACTTCCTTTATCGAACTGTGAAAAATGAACTTTACTTTTCCAACATACATTTTAATTAAATACCTCAAAAATGCTTAAGCTTAGTATTATCAATTTCTAACTGTGCACACATATATCGAAGTGGAAACCTACTCAATTCTGAAAAAGGATTTCAAAATGCAACAAACTAGAATCAATTAGAAATAATTAAAAGTAATTAACCAATTTCTGCCTAATAACACTGTTTGTAAGGAAATTTTTTGTGTCCGTAGCGGGATATCAAAGTTTCAAAGAGCTACTCCGTTGTTTGTACCATGTATATGCCTTTTAAATGTTCTGGTCTATACTTTGTAAATATTTCAAACAACTTTGGCCTTAACCATTATTTGACAAAATTATTTGTGTGTGTCCGTTTATAACTGACGAACTATTGGGCTGATTGTCATTAAACATGATACGTCAGCTAGTAACACAAATTCAAATTAAACTTTTGGATACAAAAAGAAAATGAGGATTTTATATATTTAGTCGCTAATCAGCTCAATATTATTAATTTATTTATTTTTTCCCGTTACAAGAACATCTTGTGACAAAAATTACGGGTGAATTATTTCTATAATATACTTTACGTTTCACCATTTCCCGTCGTATTGTACTTTTCATGTTACTTTGAATGAACTACTAGCAGTTTGTCAAACATTAACAGGTTTGTTTGTTTTTCAAGATGCGAGCCTGTGTAACGCTATTTTGTGTTTCACTCTCTAAGAGAGAGAGCCTGTGTAACGCTATATTACGTGTTTCACGCTCTAAGAGTGAACCGGTGTAAAGCTATTTTATGTGTTTCATGCTCTAAGAGCGAACTTGTGTAACGCTCTTTTATGTATTTCACGCTCTAAGAATGAACCTGTGTAACGCTATTTTATGTGTTTCATGCTATAAGAATGAACCTGTGTAACGCTGTTTTACATGTTTCACACTCTAAATATGAGTCTGCCTAACGCTGTTTTACGAGTTTCACGCTATAAGTGCGAGCCCTTGTAACGTTGCTTTACAACAATATTCTGTCTCTGTCTTTCAGAAGATCTTGACAACAATATTAACAAGATAATCTCATCCCCTGTGTTAGCTTAGTTTAGGATTGTGAGAGCTGGGTTTCTTATAAAAAAAAAAGAAAAAAAAAGAGGGAAGATGGATTTAGGAAGTAACATTATTTATCTTTTGTAACTTTCGAAATGAAACTTAAGTCTTCAAAATGTCTGTAACTCGTTTGTCAGTTCAATACAGAACTGTGTAAAGCTAAAAGCTCGTTACATAAGAATGAAACCTAATACAAAACTCCAGAAAAGTCTCGTATGTCTATTCAGTCTCTTTTGAAAATATTGCGAAGTCATTAAAGGTAAAATAAAAACCTTTAAACAAATTCCTCCACGGGATGAAAAAAGGTCACTTTTATGAAATATATAAAGGAAATAGTAATAAAACAATATGAACCAGTCGGATTGTTCATTCAGAGAAATATTGCGTTTTGTTACGTTGTTCTGGAGAAACCACTGAGCCATCCAGAAGAGATTTGGTTTTCCATATCAAATGACCCCTAGTGGCACAACGCTAAAAACTGGTTTTCGATACCCGTGGTGGGCAGAGCACAGATAGCCCATGATGCAGCTTTGTGTTTAATTACAAACAAACCATATAATATATGAATATATTCTTAGCCTTGAGTGCTTATGTTGAAAAGAAACCAAAATTTGATTTTATAATTTTACCAACAAGTTGATATATAGCCATCAAGATATTTTGTAAATAAAACATCTATAATCTAAGTTGTATATATATATTCTTGTTATGTTTTATGTTGTGATTTATTGATTCTAAGAGTAAAAGAACAAACTGAAATAAAATGTTAAATATTTATCAATTTCCCATAACACCAAAAAACATGTATTCTACTGAAATTCAACATCTAAAACAATTTCAGACGTATTTTAACAATAGATACAACAATCAGTAACCAAGTCTGAGAAGAATACAAAGAAACTGAAGGAATTCTAGGGATCTGTCGTCATAACTTTATATAATGGAAGAATAAATTCTATCTATATATCTATGTTTAGTTATAGAAATTATTTTCTTATATTTTTCATCAAAGTTAAATTTATAGTGTTTTCTTTTCAATTGGGGTTCCTAATTTTCTAAACTATTTCTAACAAATGTAGATAAATTTGTGACGACTGTTATAAATGCGTGTTTATGTAAAGATAATACTTAAATAAGAGTTTATGGCAAGGTAATCAGTATTTTATGTAAATACTCTACACACACATACATCCAAAAAAATGAGCGATGTTTATTAAGTTAAATAAATAGAACCTTTTTTTAATGCTTTTGTGGATTAGTTTAAAAAGTGGGTTAAAGAACTATTTGTTATCGCGGATCAGTCATAAAGCTTTGTTAAAACCTTAAGATGTCTCAAGGTAAATATATTTAAAATATTAAATGCTAAGATAAAATCCACAAGACTAACATATGTCAGATATTAACTTTTCAATTACAAATGCCGAGCTCAGACATATATATATATCTTAGACTTTAGACATATATATCTTAGACCTTAGACGTATATATCTTAGACATTAGACATATATATTTTAGACCTTTATATCTCAGAAATATCATCCATCACTTCTCATAATTTACATTTTTATTAATTGTTGTCGTAACAACCATGCTGTTTATGTTTTGATCCGTTATTAACACATTAAACATTAATTTGAACAATCAGAGAATTGTTAAAAAAAAAACGTTATGCCTTTCCCAAAGTTATCACTTTATTTCTTTATAGTGGCTATGTATGTAGATGTTTCTAAGGAGTACGTGTAAAATGTGTATATGATAAAACAACAGAGAAGTGTGACATTCGTTCCTTGTTTCGCTCCCTGGTTACGGAAAACACGACCTTTTCAATACGTCTAGCTTGTTTGTTTGTTACATTTTTCATCGAACCAGAAGCTTATTAAATAAACAGGAATTACACCATTACCTGGACAAACAGACAGATAGATAAAGCTTGATTCCTCACCATGTAGGTATTTATGCCACCAGTCACAGAGATGTTCAGTTCGTTCTGTTTGTTCTTTCTTAGCACGATAGTTGTTTCCACAAAGTCCTGTATGTTACTCAAAGCTGTGTGCAACAGAATATACATTAATGAATGTAGCAAACATCTTAAATATGATGAAACTTCAAGAAGAAATGTGTCGTTCAACCTGCTGACGTCACTTGATCTTAGAGTATATCTCTTACATTAAAAGAACAATTAGACCCGATGATTTATGTAAGCGTTATTAATACAGATAACATTATCTGGAGTGTTTGATTTCTTATTCCATTTAAAAATAAAATGTAAGTCAATCTAGACGACTGCTCGGATTGAGCCCGGGCTTGGCTTGCCGGCCGGGTAATAACAAACAAAGAAAAAAACAACGATCTGAGGTCGGGTCGGGCTTGGATGAAGTGATTTTTGTCAAACTTATTTATAAATACTCAGGCTTTTTGCTAGATTTTTAAACTTAAAAAAAAAAAAATCACATTTATTTCTTGACGAACGGTAATCTACACCCAAACAATACATGATAGTTTCATAAATGCTAAGCTCGGTATCAAAGGCGCCGCTTTAATTCTACAGATACTGTCTCATGCCTCTTTTGTATCAATTGTTAAACAGTCATATTAAATAGCAACCAAAATGTTGATAATTACACATATTAGTATGTATATTATTAGCTTGTTCCTCTCTATCTTGGCAGGTTGTAACATTAAAACGGCCATCTCGATCTTTCAGTCGATGCTGCCTGCCTAAGTCGGGTTTAATGTGGTTGTTTGGCTAGCTGTGCTCTACTCACCACGAGCATCGAAACCCTGTTTCTAGCGTTGTAAGTCCGCAGACATACCGCTGTGCCACTGTGGGGGGCGGTTTAGTGTAACAAAAATCGGGTATCGGGCTCAGGCAACATATTGTAAGTATCCGTTGGACTCGAGCCGGGGCGGGTCAACTTATAAAATTTCGGCCTGTGCAGAACTCTAACTTAAACTAACAATCTTAAGCTTAAGCCTAAAAAATGATTTAGCCTGTAATAAACATATAATATAGACTCTAGACGCAACATGAAAAAACTCTTCCATGAAGGGTTAACTATTTCAGTCCTGATGTACGAAAATTATTCGTAGCTCTTACATTATATAAAATTGATATTTTTGTAAATAGTACAATATTTTGGCTTTACAAAGTATTTAATTTTGAAAGATTTATTTCCATAGTTTTTTTATTTCACGTTTTAATTTTTAACTCACTAGCTTTTATTCATAATTTCAGCAATTGTACATGGGTGTTACCAGGTGGAGGGGACGTCTTGAGTGCGAACAATACCCTTTTGAACCTCAACTGCATTTTGATCTTCACGTAAAATCTGCCAAACGTGGCGTTGTAATTTTGTATTTATAACTTACTTCGTTTGCTTCAATTTGAAATGAGCCTTTGTACGGACGGGATTTTACTGAATCACTGGCTTACTTAGGCCTACAAGTGTTACTAATATAAAAAAAAGTCATACTGGAATAAATTTATCATCATTTGCTCCAGATATTAATCAATATGTAAATGTTCAAAAATATAAATAAGCAGAACACCGAGTAAACAAACCTTTCGTTTACTAAGTGAATTATTTAGTATCATGATATTTATTGAAGTATTAGATTCTTGAATACTAATGACGATATACTCAGTTAATAAAGTTCCTTACAATTAATAAGAGTTAAGTTCAAGCCTTTTCACCCAAATCTTTCAATGTCAAGAGTTAAGTTATATACAACCAAAATAAAGGAAGTTGGACACAATCTTGTCGATTGTATAACGGTCCCTTAGTTAAGTGTATTAAAAAATGGAGGGTTTTGAGTTTTCAAGATGTTTTAAAAATCAACAATTCATTCTGTGGTGTTTTAAAGGAGCACGTACCGTTAATTACTGAAGAATGGTAAGGAGAAAGTAGATTTTCTGATGACGCTATTATTTTGTTTTCTGGAAGAAGAACTGATTCATAAGTAGGTTCTTCGTCATCTACGTAGTGAAGAGTTCCTGTTTCCATGGTAACTTTACAATAAATTTGTGTAGGTCTACGTCATTTATGTAAATTTGGTTAAAATTAATCGAATTGATCAACGTGTGGGAAAGATCAAGCTTTATCTTGATTTTATGATTTAAATTGAAGTACACAACAATCAGTCTTAGTTTAATCAAATCTCATTATATTTCAAACTTCAGAATTCCTAATTCCATCGACCAGTATTCGGTATCTGATGAAACGTTTTAATTGGTTTCCGTTTCGAAATCAGTGGCGCGACATCAGGTAGACTTTGAGTGAACTTCTCGATGATCTTCTTAGTTATTTATTTAATGTTACCTGTAATAAACAACAACAAAAAGAAACGAAGAAATGCTCAGTTACTTTTGAGTTCTTATTGTAAACAATATTTTTTGAAACTAGTGATATAAACAATGTTTTATTTCTAATTAACCAGAAAACGTAAAAACAAAAAAAATTAACATTAATATAGAATTGGTCTCTGGATGCTTTTATTACGATCAATAAATCAGTAAAGTCAAGGGAAAAGCCCTAATCCGTTTTACAAAATAGAAAAAAAGAAACTATAAAATTTTCTTAAACCGATCGATAACTATCAGCTTTGATAAAGACGTATCTGGGGGAAGGGTAACAGAATTTGTAACTCTAATTTAACTGTAAAACAAATGGAACTTGTCACTTCAAAAAACGACAGTTTTTTATTACTATACTGAAGATAAGCACGAGCTTAGCATGTCTCTTTTGTCATTTTTACTAAAAAGAAAGTAACACAATACTTCTTCTAACATGGATCTCAAACAGACAGAACATCACATATACTCGCCCGTCTATAGCTGAGACCCCAGTGACTCAGCGGTAAGCTCGAGGATTTATAATTTTAAGATTCTGGGTTTGATCCCCGCGGTGGACACACTGCAGTTTGCCATTGAACAGCTTTTCGCTAAAATAAACAAATATATCATTGCAGTTAACACCAAGCTAACTCGAGTGAGTTGCAAGATGTAAAGAATGGGCACGGTAAATACAGAATTGTCTAGAATCTTCTGCGAGATACCTGTATAAAATATCTACATGGAAGGCACTATTTTGAAAAAGATAATGGTATTTAAGTTAAATAAACGTGTGTGTGTCTATCTTCAACTATAAATACCCGACGTGATGAAAGTCACAATGCTTTATGCAGCTTGCATTTCTAACCACATTTTAAAACCTTTTTTTACTGTTTGTCAGTATTCGATTTTTTGTTTGTATCGGACGATATGCAATTCAAGCGCAGTAATAATAGAACAAAAGAACAGGCACTGAATTTCTTGTCACAGTTTAAAAATTAGTATTCAAATAGGGGGATTAAACTTCTTTGTTTTCAATATTGACGCCTATTTACGTGTTCGTCATAATGTATATAGGATATGCATGATCAGCCGATAATGATACCTTTCAAAACGTGGTGAAGGATATTTCTTGACTTCCTTTTTGCGTGATTAATTGGCGTTGATTATTCTGATTAGTAGGTTTGTTTTGTTCTTGAATTTCGCGCAAAGCTGCATGAGGGCTATCTGCGCTAGCCGTCCCTAATTTAGCAGTGTAAGACTAGAGGGAAGGCAACTAGTCATCATCACCCACCGCCAATTCTTGGGCTATTCTTCTACCAAATATTCTACCAATAGTAGGATTGACCGTCACATTATAACGCCCCCACGGCTGAAAGGGCGAACATTTTTGGTGGGACGGGGATTCGAATCCACGACCCTCAGGTTGCGAGCGCCCCCTAACCACCTGGCCACGCCGGGCCTGAGTAGTAGAAATCAAAATAAATGGTTTTTAAAAAAACTGGTGATGTGATAGTAAAATGTACGGTGGTATAAAATGTCTAATATGAAAGTATCTTTACTTACATTACGTGACAAAACTCAAGACCAGGTAAGAACATTCTGATCGATATAATGTCTCATTATATCAGCTAGATCGATTATAGACATTGGTTGTCAACAAACAGAACTTTATATGTTATTAGATATGGAAGCTATCTTAGAGTTTTACACACGCAGAATTATAATTTGTCTATCAATATATCATAGAAACATATCTTAGAATGTGTGTTATACAATATAAGAAATAGGGATTTCCTATTGTTTATGTAAATCTAGCATACAAAATATCTTGCTTAAATAGCATTTGTTGTCAATTGTCGTGGGAACTTCAAAATGAAGCGAATCTTTATCTTTAACCTTTCTTTAATATTTAATACGATTATACAACACAATAAACATATAACAAAACACAACACAAATTGAATTATAAATTATAAACTAAACTACAATTAACCCAGTAGCTTTTCGCTCATCCGAGTTAATAACATTAATTATTCAATACTTCATTTAAGCACTTTAACTTTAAAATAACAATAATTCATTTTATTACTTTAAATAAATCTTCTATACTTTAAAGTAATACAAAAATGATCTTACTCGTACCTTAAATTTAGATACAATATTCCCATTTTTATAGATAAAGGTAAATTATTAAATAATTATATAACAAAAATGTTTTTGCATAATCTCATTTTTAACTATTGAAATCTTATATTCTAATCCTTGCATTCTTTTAGGAAAAACATGATTTTATTTGAAAATAATAATTTGTATTCTTTACAAGTAATTGTAGTCTATTTATTAATAAATATCTCACATGAAATATTTGTCATAAAATATACCTAAGTTGTTTCATTATCATATTTTACAACATTGTTCTGTAATGAAACAATTGGCTTTAGTGTAGTTTGATTAGCCTCTTCCAATTCGAAATCCCATACTTAATTACTGACTGTATCAATGATAAATAAATAAATCCTAACTGTTTGTTTTTAATTAAGCACAAAGCTACACAATGGGCTATCTGCACTCAGCGCACCACGGGTATCCAAACCCAGTTACTAACGTTGTAAGTCCGCAGACAAACCGCTGTGCCACTGGGGGGCATAATTCCTAATATCAAGACACTTTTTTCACAAGATAGATTTTAATGTACATAAAGTTGAGTGTCTTTGCCAAACCCTTAACATGTATTTCCAGCTTAAATTTTGTCAATTTCTAACCATAATATTTTATAACATCCACACTTTTCATTTGTGAACATTTACAAGTATTATTAATTATACACCCACTATCATGAATATATAATCTAAAATCATTTTCATTTATATTCATTGTACGTTTTGAAT